CTTCCTTCTTGGAAAGCTGGCCACCAATTCCATTTCTCTCTAAATTCCCCTTGTTGGATGTTTTTTTTTTTTTTTTTTTTAAAGTTAGACATGATTATTATTTATTCTGTAACTACGGAAAACGTGTTATTTAACTCAACTCTGTGGATGCTGACAAAATATAAAGTGTTGGTACACATCAGCATGTATTTAAAACCCGGGAAAACTGATGTCATGATGCATCTTGGCTTTCTCAGTTGTGGTGGAAACAACATTTACTTAATTATGATAAAAGAAACAAGAGTTCAGCAGAAAACACAACTGGATGAGACCTGTTTAGCTGCACAAAAGGAGACCTACCAAGTAACTGGCCTTTTTTGTCATTATTTTTTTATAAATCACAACTTGAAGGAATAATACTTCAACCTACTGCTGTTTAGTTTTCTCTTCCCAGGAGCTCAGGCCCTCACTGTTTCTCTCCTGAACTGTACTGCAATAATCCCCTAACTCCAACTTCCCACTTTCCCTGGATTTTGGCAGCTGTTTATAGTCTGGAATGCTCCTCAACCATGGCTCTGAGTACATCCCTTCCCTGGCTCAAGAGTCTTCAAGGACTCCCCAGTGGGGTCCAAACTCAGGCCCCCAACTTTCTCAAGCTGTCATCTCTCATTCTCCAAACAAGTCCACTGCATGAAAGCTCTGGTCTCCAAAAATATGCCCCACATTGCGATTTTTTATGTACACATATAAACACATACACCCACAGACACGTGTGCAATACACTTACATATACACATGTGCACACACTTAGCTGGACATGTGCAGTGCTCCCTGCACTGAAATTCCACTTCCATCTCTAGATCCCACTCAAAGCCACCTCCTGGATGAAGACCTCCCCAAATTATTCAAGACAAAAACACCAGGAAACAAATGATGAAAATATGTGTCAATCTCGTCCAGAGGCTCAGGCCAGAGACTACTGACAAGTCTTCTGCAGCCTTCATTCCCTTCCCTCCTCATTCACGCTTGTACCAGTATCTCTGGGCACAAAGTAAGTGTCAGGTAAGAGTTGGCAAAGTTATGTTAGGGGAGAAACTAACATAGTAAACAGTCTCTCTCTTCCAAATGATTCTAAAAGGGACAGGTACTGAGGAAGGCAGGAGAGGGGGCCCCCAAAGATAAATCATGGTGGGGGTGGCAGTGGAGGTATTGAAATAATCCACTGACCAACAGCTCACTCTCCACACCACAGTAATGTTCAACTCAATGCCAATTTTAAAAACAAACACAGGGTCCAGCACATAAGAGGCATCAACAGACCTGAGAGCCTCATCCTGTTCCCTAACAACTGATCAAAGGAAGGGGGGCCTGAGACTAAATGGGGTGCTAGAAGTGGACTTTTCTGGGTCCATGGATGAGGAGCAGAAGGCAGGCTTGGGGTGCTCAGGGCTGTATCTACAGTATTTCCAGCCTTCCGAAAGCTGTCTGGCTGGAAATAATGTGAAAACCAGACTGTCTCCTGACTGCCTGGTGGTGGGTGAGTGAGAGGCTGGTCCAGGATCAGGAGGTGGCCACACACAGAGGGCAGAGACAGGGCATCTGGAGAATCTGCGTCCCAAAGCAGTCTGACCAGAAGACCCAGAGGAAGGAAGAAGCCACTGTTGAATTAGTGGTTCTCAAAGTGTGGTCCTAGGATCAGCAGCCAAAGATCACCTGTGAACTTGTCACAATGCAAATTCTCAGCCCCCTCCCCTACCAGGCTTATTGAATCAGACACTGCAGAGGATGGATACATCCTGCAGTCTGTGTTACGACCAGCCAGTCTTCCAGGTGTACTAAAGTTAGAGGACCACTAGCAGGTCCTCAACAGCTAGAACATCCTGCTGACCCTCCTTGGCTGCCTCCCTTCCTCCACAGCAGGAAGAACAACTAGTGACCACAATCCCTTAGTGTCTGGAGAGGGACAACTTCTCAAAAGAACAAGAAGCTCAAAGTCAGAACCTAGTAGGTGAAAAATAGCCCAGAGAGATCTATTCTAAAAAAAACCCCACATCTGATCACGTCACTCTAGCAGGTAAATCTCTTCACTGGACCCCACTGTGCTTATTCTACAAGGTCTTCCCTGAGTCTGGACCCCGTTGTCCCTCTAGGAGTCTGCCTGACTCCAACTCTAATTCTAGCTGAAAGGAACTTCACCTGAAGTTCTCTAAGGCTCCGGGCTCTCTTCTCCAGCCAACCATGGTCACCACCCCTTCCCCACCATAATGGCCCTGCCTCCAGGGTGCCCTCCCGACCCACCTCAGCCCTCTTGTAACACAAGGCCCCATCCTAGCATTCATCATGCCACTATGGCAGCCAAAACATTCACTGCAGATATCAACTCTGCTAGGTGCCCTACTCCAGCACTCAGCACAGAGGAGACCCACAAGAGATATCTGGTGAGAAATGAAGCCAAGTGATGAACAGCTTGCATTTCGGCTATAAAACATATCATTCCTCAGTATTTGTAACAGTCTTCATTGCAATTGGAAGAACATGTTCACTAAATTTTGAACGACTAGCAGACGGAGAGAAAGGAGATCTGCCCACCTGGGGCATAGTCATGGTGTAAGGAGAGGGATGCAGTAGGGTGTTGAGCGTAGTTGAAGTTCACATCTACCATACCCAAGAACTCCAAGTTCTCCCAGTTCATGCACCGAGCCGGAGAGAAAGGAGATCTGCCCACCTGGGGCATAGTCATGGTGTAAGGAGAGGGATGCAGTAGGGTGTTGAGCATAGTTGAAGTTCACATCTACCATACCCAAGAACTCCAAGTTCTCCCAGTTCATGCACCGAGCCAAGCTTGGGCCATTCGGAGGATGGCAAGGAGCCTCTTTGGTATTTCCCTGACAGATCAACCACAAGCCCCCATCCCTGAGGCTCCCAAGGTAATCTGCCCCCCTCCCTCAAGGCAGCTCCTGGGTGGCCACCTGGCTGCTTCCAGCTCCCTGTCATCTAGGTGTGGCATCCTGGGTTCTTAGGAAGCCCAGAGTCCAAGCTTCCAAGGTGTGTCCCCAAGCTGGCTCCAGGGAGAGGTAGGATCCTCCACATACTGCCCACACTGTTCTCACTTTCAGACCAAGCAGAGAGGGTACTCTGGGAACCTCAGGGAGAGGAGGCCAGGAGGAAAAATTCCAGGAGGGGCAAGAAGTAAGCTCTTCCCTCCTGGAAAACAAGAAGATCCCTTTCCAAGCACCAGCTGGCAGGTAGGAGCCTGTCTGCCTCCTGTCTGGACATCCAGTCCTAAAAGAAACTCAGACTCTTTTTTTTTTTTTTTTTTAAAAAGATGACCGGTAAGGGGATCTTAACCCTCGACTTGGTGTTGTCAGCACCACGCTCACCCAGTGAGCGAACCGGCCATCCCTATATGGGATCCGAACCCGTGGCCTTGGTGTTATCAGCACCGCACTCTACCGAGTGAGCCACAGGCCGGCCCCAAGAAACTCAGACTCTTTATCAGTCTCCCCCAGCCCAGGCCTGGGCAAAACTTTACCTTTGGAAGAAGGGGGAACGGGGGGGGGGGGGGGG